TATAGGTCACTTTGAGAAAAATTAGCGTCTTTACAATGTCACGTCCTCCAATCCGGAAACATGGTGTAGCTCAACATTTATTTAGGTCTTAATTCAATTTTTCTTAATATTGTTTTGTTGTTTCCCCCATTAGGTATAATGTTTGCTTATAACTGTTTTCTTCTTCTTCTTTCTTTCTTCTTCTTTCTTCTTTCCTTCCTTTCCTAATTTGCTAAGTGCATTTCTCATGCACAGACATTAAACTTTGAAAAATACTTTTTTTCTTTATCTATCGAGGTAACCAGCATCATTTTTTTCTCCTTTATTCTGTTAGCTTGGCAAATTGCATTGATTCAGGTAATGCTATTACATGCATACAAATTTAGAACTTTTTCATCTTTCTAGTGAATTAACCCTTTTAGCATTAGGAAGTCGCCCCCTTTGTGTCTAGTCATGCTTTTTTTCTTTTTTTTTTTTGAGTTGGAGTCTCACTCTGTCACCCAGACTGGAGTGCAGTGGCCTCTCCCGGCCACTGCAGCCTCGACCTGCTGGGCTCCGGCGATCCTTCCGCCTCAGCCTTCCCAGTAGCTGGAACTACAGGCACACGCTACCACGCCCGGCTAATTTTTGATTTATTGTAGAGATGAGGTCTCGCCACGTTGCCCAGACGGGTCTCGAACTCGCGGGCTCAGGCAATCCACTCACCTCAGCCTCCCAAAGGCGCGGGATGACTGGCTGAGCCACTGAGCCCGACTGCTTTTTTTCTTACAAACTGTTTATCTGCTATTCATCTAACAAAACATGACCCTGTGTTGACTAGATGCTGGCTACTAACTCATTCATTCATACATTCTTTAAAAAACATATACCTGAGTAGCATCAAGGTCATGGGTACTGGGGCCCAGCTGCCGGGGCTCTTCACGTAAACGTGCACAACTTCTCTGACTTCTCTTTTGCACGAACAGAAGAAGCCTCGGTTTCCTCATCTCTGAATTTCTCGAGTCAGTTTGGGAGATTTCACGGTCTCTTCAAATACGGCTTTCCCTTCTCTCCTTCCGCGACTCCCATTAAGCATGTTGAATCTTCTCATTGTGTCTTCTGGCCATTATATTCCATATTTTCCACCTGTTAGTTTCTCCTGGCTGTGTTCTGGTAGCCTTTTTCTGATCCGTCTTCACTAATTCTCTCTTCAGATGACCCCATCTGCAACTAAACCTGTACATTGAATGCACTGAATGCCTAATGTTGGACAGTATTTTTCCATTCTGGAACTATTCGTTGGTTCTTTTTCTTTAAGTTAGACTCTCATTCTTTCACCCAGGCTTGAATGCAGTGGCACGATCATGATTCCCCATAGCCTTGAATTCATGAGCTCAAGTGATTCTCCCACCTCAGCCTCCCAAGCTTGGGACTACACGCTCATGCCACCACACCCAGTTAATTTTTTAATTTTTTGTAGAGACAAGGTCTTGCTCTGCTGCCTAAGTCTGGTTCTTTTTAAACTAAACAGTGTTACTTTTTGTAATTTTCAGCTCCTCGCTTAAAGGTGTAAGAGTGGCTTTTAACTGTGTGAGCATAGTAAGCACTGACACTTTAAAGTCTGTGTCTTGTAATTACTCTCTGGAGCACCTGTGGATTTGTTTCTGATGTCTGCTGTTGGCGTAGGTCTTTGGTCATGTTGTCTGCCTTTTGTGCGTTTCAATATTGTGCGCCATATTTCGAATTTGCACATTCATTTGTAGAAATATTCTTTAGGTATTCGATGACGTTCTCCTCCTCCAGCAAGGAGTTTCCTTTGCTTTTGCCAGATGACAGGGCCTCTAACAACCCGAGGGTCACCTTCATTCAAGGTCAGGGCTTAAAATGTCCTGGGAAATCCAAATGCCTTGACTCCAGGCTGCGGACTGTGTAACGAGTCTAGGCTGGTTCCCCTCCATTTTACCCATTTTTCTCAGTGCCGCTTTTGCATCACAACTCTAAGTGCCGGACGGCTCACCAGCACCCCACCCACGAAGGACCAGGAACTTCCGTGTCTGCCCCCTGACAGTTTCAGGCTGTTGAAAGCATGGCTCCGCTGTTCAGCCATCTCCTCGGCTTGACCCGTACGCCCCGTGAAAGCAGCCCTGCGGCAGTCGGACACTCCCCTCCAGACGCATCTTCTCCCGGACCTTGGCCCATGTACTCCTCACTGTCTCGTTAGCGTTTTGTGACTTTTATGAAGATAGGTTTATTTTTCTTTCAAAAAACCAATTATCCATATTGCATATGGGTTAAAGGTATGAATCCAAGAGTCCAATGGCCAGGATCTTCTGTCTGCAATATTCATTTTGTCCAGCTCTTTTTTTCCATTCACTCTCAGTGGGAGGATAGATCCACATGACCTGGGCAGACATATCGGAAATAGAATCTCTAAGTCTTTTAAAAGAATGTGGGTCCCTTATGTTCTTGTCATGGTCACTTTATTCTGACCAAAGTCAGGCTTTTGGCCTTGAGTGTCTTAGCATGTGGCATTCATTGGGTTCAATTAACAGCGATTTGAATGACATTTAACTTACTTTCATTGAGCACACCAAGTATGACCTAGGTAAATACACCGTCTCAGGTGCTGAAAATATGTTTATTTTTCTTTCAGAAAACCAATTATCCATATTGCATAAGGGTTAAAGGTATGAATCCAAGAGTCCAATGGCCAGGACCTTCTGTCTGCAAACTATATCCCAGTTAGTTATCTTCTCTGAGTCTCAATTTCCCCATCTGTAGGAGATGGTAATTATAATGGAACATCTTGATGGGCTTTGTTGTAAGGACTGAGTGTTATCTAGCGAGAACAGTGTTCGTGACAGTCTTCGGCAATGGTAAGATCTCATAATTATTAACAATGACAATGATGATCACCTGCCGTTGGCCAGACCCTCTGTTAAGCCCTGCAAATGCAAAGGCAGTAAGAGGAAACCCTGTACTTAAGAAACCTCCTGCTCTCATCCACGAGAAGGACAGTCACACAACCTGGGACTGCAGAGGGTGCTGAGTGTTGGAGGGGTAGCAGCAAAAAAGGGACCCTCTGCTGGGTGCCCAAGACCACTGGGCTCAGTCATCACCGGGCAACTCGTGGAATTCAGCAAGTAGTTGTGTCCATGGTTAAGGTCCATCACAGTGAAAAGATTCAAAGGCAGGACCAGCAAAGGGAAAAGGCACATCAGGTAAAATCCAGGAGAAACCAGGCACAAGCTTCCAGAGTCTTCTCCCTGCAGAGTCACACAGGGCGCACTTCATTCCCCAGCAGCAAGTTATGACAGCACGTGTGAAATGTTGTCTACTAGGGAAGTGAGCCTGCTTAGGAGTCTAGGATTTTTGTTGGGGTCAGTCACGTGGGCACCCTTTGCCTGGCAGGAACCAAGATTCCAGGAAGGAAGGTGGGTGTTCAGCTAAACCCCACTGCATCTAATCAGACCCTGTGGCCAGCGGTCTTGTCAGAGAAGACCTCGAATCAAGTTTTGGAACACGTGGGGAGAATTCCTGGATAAGGGGGAAAGTAGGCATTTGTCGTGTTGGTGCCTGGGGTGTTCAGGTGATGGACTGGAGCGGGTGTGAGACGTAGGTGCAGACCCGAGTGTGACAAAGCCCCTGCTCTCAGGGAGCTGTGGCCTGGGGAGAGGACAGATAAACTGTGGTTTAGATGTCTTGGAGGGCCAGCCCCAGAGCTATGCAAGCCCACAGTCAGACATGCCTGTGTTAGTCTGGGACGTCCGGCCCAAGGAAGACTCCAGAGAAGGCATGATTTTGGAGGGAATTTGCAGTATGAGGAGGAGTCCGTTCTAGGTGTGAAAGTGACAGGAACGGGGTGAAGCATCTTTGTAATGAAACATGTAATGAGATGCTGTTTGTGTGTGAATGCACACACACACCAGCAGCCACGTTTATGAACATCATAGACAGACAGACAGACAGATAGATAGATAGATAGATAGATAAGTAAACTAGAAAGAGAGTCACCAAGTTCATGGGGACAGCTGTCTCTGGGATCAGGAGTGAGGGGAAAAGAATTGCAGAGGGGACACAAAGAATTTTAGCACAACCTGTAAAGTTTGATGTTTTAAATACAAAGGAAAAAGAAGATCTGAGTGGTAGATTCACAGGCGTTTAATGTTCTTATCTATGGTGTGGGCTTTTCCCCCCATTGTTTAAAGAAGAGCGTTTTAGAATGGGACTGGGTGGGGCAGGTGGGATGAGGGCCCCAGAATGATGAGACAAGAGGCAGCACAGCCGGGCCAGACCCCGAGGCGCCTGGAAGCAACGTGGAGAGGTTTGGACGGAGGTCTTCCAAGTGGCTGGAGCCTGGAGGGCTTGTGTCAGACCTGGGGTTTATGGAAATAACTTGCCTACGTATGGAGGGTGGAGGGGGAGACAGAGGCCAGTGGGGATGTGAAAATGACCTAGATGGCGGCCTAGCAGAGGCCCAGGCGGTGGTCCAGACGAAATGCGGAGATTAAGAGCTCGCTGGCGGGGGAGGGCAGGTCTGAAGTGTGGCTGGGTGGCGGTCAGAGGGCTCTAAGGTGGCAGGCGTGTCCCTAGACTCTGTGTGTGTGTCGGGGTGCGTGTGTGTGCACACCTGCAAGTATAGACGAGTGTCTGTGTGTGCCTATTTGCATGTGTCTGTGTAGATGTGTGTGGATGTGTCTGTGTGTGCATTCGTGTGTGCATGTGTTTATGCGGGCGTGTGCACGTGTGCCTGTATGTCCTCGTCTGTATGTGTGTATGAGTGTCTGTGTGTTTGTACAAGTCTGTGTGCCTTTGTGTGCACAGTATGTGTGTACATGTGCATGCACTAGTCTGTGTGTGTGTACATAGTGGGGCTGTGCACGTGTGTGTCTGTGTATGCATGCTCGTGTGTGACTTGTGGGTCCTCATCTCTGGATCTCCCCTACCCCCAGCGGGAGGTGTGGAGGGGTGCCCAGGGAGGCTGAGGCCCTGCCTAGGGCCCTGCCCTGACCCGTAACCCCAAGTGTGGTTCCCGACTTCAGGAGCTGTACTGCGGCACCATGGACACTTTCCAGAAGTTGGTGGACGTCCTGTTCCTTCAGACGCTCCCGGGGGTGACCGGCCTGCCCCCGGCAGAGTGCGAGCACCTGCGGCAGGAGGTCTGGGAGCGTGCGGCCTGGCAGCTGGGGCAGTCGGATCGCTTCCGGAGGCAGCAGTGGAGACTCTGCCAAGAGTTCCTGGAGCAGGATCGGCAGGTGCGGGAGCTGCGGGCGCCAGGGGCTGTGGGCTGCGGTGTGGGAACTCGGGAATGACGTGAGGTTTCAGTGACTCAGCACCACCCACAGGTGCCCGCTGCAGGCACTCTGCCAAGATGACTGTGGCCGGCCCTTCGCCAAAGCCCGCCCAGTGGGTAGGATGAGAGGGCAGAGCCCTCGTCCCCTGCAACAGGAAGTCAAGGGACGAAGTCTCAAGTGGACTGGTCAAGAAGGGGCGGCAAAGCATGTTCTTCAGAATGAAAGAATTAAATAACAAGCCAAATGGCAGCAGAAGAAAACATGGTGAGCTCAGGGGTGGGTTTCATGGGGGAGGCTGCACACATCAGACTCTGGTTTTCCAGTGAAAGTCAATTTGATGATTATTAAGACCACGCATCTATGCTGTAGACAGAACCATGACCCCCAGAGATGTCCACGTCCTAATGCCCAGACCCTGGGCCCATGTTCCCTGACAGGGCAAAAGGGACTTTGCAGATGGGATTAAGTTAGAGAACTTGAGATAGGGATGATTCTAGACCAGGGGTTCCCAGTCCCCAGGCCTGTTAGGAACCGTCTGCATGGGAGGAGGTGGGCAGCAGGCAAGTGGAGCTCTGCCTCCTGTCAGTTCAGTGGAGGCATTAGGTTCTATGGGAGCATGAACCCTTCTGTGAACTGCGCATGTCAGGGATCCAGGTTGCACGTTCCGTAGGAGAATCTCATGCCTGATGATCTGCCCCCCACCCCTGTGGGGAAACTCTCTTCCACGGAACCAGGTTCTGATGCCAAAAAGGTTGGGGACCGCTATTCTAGATAGCTGTGTGAGCCCAAGGTCATCACAAAAGGGAGGCAGAAGGGCCAGGGTCTGGGGAGGAGACTTGCTGACATCCGCAGAGGTCGGAATGGTTTGGACACCATTCCGCACCTGCTGACCCTACTCCAGGAGCTCTTGGAAGAGTCTCTCCTGTTTCTTTACATTGGGTTTACAGTTAGTTGCAAAAGAGCACTCTGATGCACCCTTGAGCCTAGAATGCCAGTGACATCTAGAAGCTGGAAAAGGCGAGAAACAGATTCTCCCCTAGAGCTTCCACAAAAGAAGCCAGCCCTGCGGACATCTTGATTTTAGCCCATGAAGACCTGATTCAGATGTCTGACCTCCGGAACTGGATGATAATAAATCCAGGTTGTTTCAAGTCAGAGTTTGTGGCATGTGTTACAGCAGCAATAGGAAACTACTACAACGCACATTAATTTTATTGTGGAAGAAACACAAACTGTTAGATAAAAAGGAACTTCTGGGTTTGGCATCCACCCAAACCCCTCACCTTTCCTTTCGCCCTCACCTTCTGCCCTCTAGAGGCTATGAAACGAAAATGCTCAGTTGACTCTGGCCTCTGAGACAACGGGCGGGCGACACTTACAAAAGGCTTCTCCTTCCTGATACAGAATCCGAGTCTTGCTCGGAGCCATCTCCTTGTCTGGTGTTCCTGGTCTTGCAGCCCAGTACGTGCACAAGAGGCCTGGAGGTGCACCATCCTTTCTCTGCTCAGAGGCAGCCTGCCTGGGGACAAAAGCAGGAGTGCTCCGGACCGTGGAGCCATCGTGGACAAGCCCGAGTCCCTGGCAGCCGTGTTGAGTTGCTGCCCTAGCCAGGACCGTCCACCCCTGGGTGTTTATGGTCAGAAACAACCCCTGTTTCTTTACATTGGGTTTACAGTTAGTTGCAAAAGACCACTCTGATGCACCTCAAAGACGTTTTCTGACGCAATTTCTTGGAGCTATAGAAGGTACCAGACAGAGGAAAACCTTGTGCAAACACACAGCCATTCACAGCCGCGGGATGAGCACAGGCCTAGTTGCCTGCCCTTCTGAATTCTTAGTTCTCCTTCCGTTCACTTCGGTCCCGTCAGCCACGCCCTGTTGCCCTGTCCTAGGAGACTTGTGTGTCACCTGCATTTGGCTGCAAGTTCCTTGAGGGCAGCAACCATGGTTTTCATATTTACACTCGCTCAAATTGTCCTGTATTGGATGTGCACTAGAAAACTGTGTGGCCGTTCCAGCAGTAACAATGCAGCTTTGGGCAGTGTTACAGGGTCACGTTGACTCTGAATTCTTCCAAGGGATCTAGGTGATTTCATCCAATTCATGCCAAATTCTTAGGCCCTGACTAATTGGTTTATAGTCTCTGTGGAGGGAGGAGGTCCCCGAGCCTCCGTGTCTTAGAAACCAGGTGAGTCAGATATTCAGGCCCTTTCGGAGACCACAGTGGTCTTGCAGCCAGTCTAACCTCGGAAGCTCAAGACATGGGATTTGAGCCAGAGCCGACCCAGTCATGAGCTGTGTGATTTTAGCCAGTTAGCTGAGCTCCTGTAGCTCTTTGATTTTGTACAATGTGCTAAATGTCCCAGAGCCCAGCTTCTGTGTGAAAACTAGGGGTCTAAATACCCAAGAGGTTGCTGTGAGATGACATAAGGTAAGATCTTTTGCACAAAATCCATTGGCTTGCATAATTCCAGAATTTCACTTCGATAAAACACCTGTGAATCATCTCAAACGCCCAGGTTAGGAGTCTCAAATTATTTTAGGCAAATATCAGACTATGCATAGCTGTTTTTTAATTAATTGATCATTTATCTTCTGAGCACATGATTGCGAGGTGTTTTTGGCCCGTGGGGAAGGTTTTCAAGATGTATTTTGCATGCAAGAAGCAAACAGAAGAGCTAACGACCCAGCTCATCAACTGATTACATAAGTATGACCGGAGACTGCCTTCTCAAGGTGCACATGTCATCGTTATTTACTGATTGCTTAATTGCCTTGAATTGCCACAAGATACTTAGAGATCCATGTTCTCTCCTACTTGCCATATTTCCTCATCAATGAAAAAAAATGAAAAATGAACTTTCTGCGCTTTGGATGGATATCAGTCACGAAAAGCACCAACAAAACTAGTGATGGAAAATCAAAAACACCCCCAGGCGACGAACTACCTTTTCCACATCTTTCTCTATCCAAAAAGACCTCAGTAGCTTCCTATCCTATTGCTCAAAGGAGTTAGTAAAAATTACTTAACTCACGAATTACACAATTGACACAGGCTGTAGAGTGGCGTTTCTCAAAATATAATCTGCTCTAATGCAGGTTTCCGGGTTTCTCTCAGTCCACTGAGGCTGGCAGCATAAAAGATCCCCCAAAATGAGGTCCACATCCTGATATCTAAAGCCTGCAACTATGTGAGGTCACCAGGCAAAAAGTACTTTGCAGGTGTGATTAAGTTAGGGATCATGAGATGGAGAGATTCTTCCGATGATCCGGCCGGGCCCAATGTCATCATGATGGTTCTCGTAAGTGAAGAAGGAGAGTCAGTGATGGAGCGATGCCACCTGAGAAAGATCCAGCCGGCTGGGTTTGAAGATGGAGAGAGAGGCGTGGGCCCAGGGACACAGGCCCCCTCTGGGAACCCGAAGAGGCATGGATGTGGATTCTTCCTGGATCCTCGAGGCGGAAGGCAGGCCTGCCGACACCTGGGCTCGAGCTCCTTGAGACCCTTTTCAGGTTTCTGATCTTCAGAAATGTAAGATAATGCGTTCACATTGTTTTAAGCCGCTGCGTTTGTGGCCATTTGTCACAGTGGCCACAGGAAACTCCATGAGAACGTGGCAGTGCGCGTACTCTTTAGTACAAGGGTGAAGAACACCTGTGCTAGAGTCAGTCTACCTGAGTGTGAATCCTACCTCCACTTCCTTCCGTCCCCGTACTCTATCTTAACCTCCCTCCAGGCTGGTTTCCATCACCTCCTCAACAAATTTGTTCTCCTCTGTGCCGAGACCTCAGGCCTCACCTTCCTGGACTCCGCAGTGGCATTTGGCCAAGCTGGTCTCACCCCTCCTCCTCGAAACCCTCGCTTGACTCTCCTGCTTCTGCTCCCAGTTTACTGACTGCTCCTTCTCAGTGTCCTGTGCTGGTTCCTTCCTGCCTTCCTGGCTTCCGTGCCCTCAAGAGCCCCAGGATGCAGCCTGTGGTCCCCTGCCTTATCGACACGCACTGTTTCGGCGATCCCATCCAGTCACCAACCATCTGTATTTGCTTTCTATTGCTGTATCACAAAGAGCCCCCAAACTGGCAGATAACATTTGTTATCTCCCAGTTCTTGCTTTTGAGGAGTCCAGGCACAGCTTAGCTGAACCCCTTTGCTCAGGGTCTCTGGCAAGACTGCCTCCAATCCATGGGCCAGGGCTGGGGTCTCATCCAAAGTCTCGCCTGAGGAAGACTCGCTTCCAAGCTCACTACGTGACTCTCGGGAGAATTCAGTTCCTTGGGGACTGTTGGGCTAAGGGCAACTCACAGATGGACACTTCCAGCTCAGCATCGTTCCTGAACTCAGCGCCACGTGAGGTCTCCACTTAGACGGTTGATAGATACATAAATGTGGTACATCCAAAACAGAACTGATGCTCTTCCTGCCAACCTGCATTGTGTGCAACCTTCCTTCACCTTTCTGCTTCCCTGGGGCAAAACCCTTGAGGTCATCCCTGACTCCTCTTTCTTTCACCCCCTGCACGGGTTGACAAGAAATGCTACTGATTCGACCATTAGTCTAATCTGGAATGCAACCACTTTTCAGCACCTTAACACCCTGGTCAAATCCTCTGTACCTTGAAACCAGATTATTAAGAAAGCCGGCCAGGTGTTTCCCCTCTAGTCCCAACCCCCAGCCAGAGGGATACTTTTAATTCTGTATGCCACTAATGTTGAGGATGCATATCTGCAACATCATCTAATTGGCAGTGGCTTTTTTCTCCTCATGATACCTGAAATAATTGGTCACCAGCACAACAGATTTGATAAAGAACATTTAGTCGGCCGGGCTCGGTGGCTCAGCCTGTAATCCCAGCGCTTTGGGAGGCCGAGGTGAGTGGATTGCCTGAGCCTGCGGGTTCGAGACCCGCCTGGGCAACTTGGCGAGACCTCATCTCTACAATAAATCAAAAAATTAGCCGGGC